CGCAGTGATTTCGGACGGGCGTCGTGTCGGCCCCAAAAAGCGCCAGGTGCGCTGCGTAACGTCAATCGCGAATCGTTTATGTCGTTACTGGCGTATCTCAATGCACCGGAGTAATTGACACCTGTTGTTCGAAATCAATTTTAAAGATCGATACTAAATGCAAGCATAAAGAACGAAAGAACTGAATTGTTTAGAAATTTTGATCAAAACACAACAGCTTTCGAAGAGATACGCTTAATAAATAAATAAAAATGTCGTATATCTTTTGCAAACAATTAGATGCAAATGTAGATTAAATGAAGAAAATTGTTCTTTGTAAGCTCTAAAGAGTCATGCCGATGATCACGGAGAAGCAACGTATCGAGACAAATTTTTGATGCGATCAGGTTCTATCGATTTTCCTTTAAACTTCCTCGTTAACTGCTCTTTAAGATAACCGCTGATCGGATGTAGCGGCTCTTAAAGCAGAAACGCCCGCTTCTTCGAGTCTCGCGAACAACGAGCATTCACGTCGATCCATCAGAGCGAACGATTAAACTCCGCTCGTTCCCCGAAACTAATTAAATTAATGATCCCCCCTCAGGCGAATCTTCGCCGTTTAGATAGAGTCCGGGTACCGCCTTCCACGCCTCGACACTCGAGGGTACCGCAACGGCGTCTTTATCCCTTTATCTTCATTCGATTCAGCCAGTTGCTTCATTATCGTTTCTCTCGCGTGGCTCAATATTGTCCGAAAATCGCACGAGAAGTAATTGCATTATTTCGCGTATCTGAGTCATCAATATTAATGGCACGAACACGCTATATAATTGCGGAATTGGATCTGACGGATTGCACAAAGTATTGTTTCCGATATTTATGAAATAACAATATAGAAGATGTCCTTGTAATAAGATATTAATTAATATTTGTTGTGAAAGATAGATATAAGAAATTTTGCTTGTTTGGGATATTATAAAAATATTTTAAAAAATAAAAAATTAAATAAGAGTTTATAAAGTATTGTGTAAGATCTTCTGCATAGATACATAATACTATTACAATATTATAAAGGTTTCTAGGTAAAGTTCTAGACATGTGCATAGGGTGTGTGCGTAGAATAAAATGCATTTTCGCAAGTGGAAGTTTCGTAACGATTGCGTACGCAATATCGCTTCAGGAGGTTTAATCATTAGTCAGATTGAATCGCAAAAACAGGATATAAGACCCATAAAGAAACACATGACAAAGTGAGCATTAATTTCCACGTTAAAAATTGCATCTTTCTGACAGATATTACCTATTGTCAGTGGGACGCATATAAATAATCAGTAAATTATATTCAATAAATAACTGATGTAAATATCGCAAAATAAATTTAAAACAAAAATTATTTTACCCACCAATTATTAATTATTTTAATAACTTTTTTTGCCTAAAAAAATATATTGCACAAAAATGTCGATAAAAGATTGATTATGTGAAAATTTTGAATATATGAAATAAAACACAAAAGAGAATGATATTTGTAGCAATTTTATAATTTGTATATTTGTCTATCAAGCTTTGTTGAGAAATTTTAAACCTTATATTTTTATCAGATATATTTTACGCGTCTAATTTGTTCCCATGGAAGAATATAAATAAGACAAACTTATTTATTTAGCTCACCAATTAAGTATGAGTGTAAAACAAAATGTAACGTGATAGCTCTTACATTAAACACTACATGCTATATATTGTATACTATACGCGTGGCGAGACAGAAGGAGACCCAATATCAAGCTAGCCTCCCCACCATCGCAAAAAAAATTTGGACTCATGGAAAAATTTAATGCTATTTATGTGCTAATTTGTTGCTCCATTTTGAATTTTCTTGTCCTGTTTAGCAGGAAATAGCGGAAGTAAATTCAAATTTTTTTGCGATGGCTAGCTTGATATAAGCGACACAAAGATACATTTCATAATATTCCGGAACGGAATTTTGCTTTTGCCGTTTAGCTCGGTAAGCGAGTCGATCGGCGGGATTGCAGAAACAGGAAGCGATACACGAGCGGATTGGTGTGAGCGCTCCGCTCGATATCGCGAAGATCGGATCGGAGGCGGCTCGCAGGCGAGCTCGGCTACGTGTGCGATCGATCGATCTCGTATCGGAGAGGCGGCCGACGGCAAACGTTAATTATCGCGCGTTATTTTTATTTATCGATGCCGCGAGAGAGCCGCGCAGTCATCGCGTAAGCGTCATTAAAAATGTGTTTCTCATGCGGTTCTTTACCTCTCGGGAAAGAACCTAAAAGGATGAAAATTGCAGGACGAAAAGAGAAAGGAAAAGTTCAGGGAAAAATCAGCAAGAAAAATAAAGAGTGAGGACACAAATGACACAAAAGCATCCGTTGAAGTTAATTATTCTCGGTGATCAAATTGTGGTCGCGCGCGCGCGGGCGTTAACCGGCTGTTAATTACCTCGTAAACGAACTATTGAACGGTCGAAGTGTCGAAGAGAACATCATCGAAACGCGACGATCTAGAATGGAGTGATACATTGTCGCGAGAAACCTCAAATGTGCCTTTTAAATTTTCGTTTAAATGATACAGTCAGTAAAAGTTACAATAAAAAACAAAAAAGTTTAATATGAATGATGTTTTTGATGCCTGGAATTCTTTCTATATAAAAAATTGATAATAATACATATTTATAATAATAAAGTCAAAGTTGTTTAATATAATTTCGAGATGTTTTGTTTAAAGAAAAATTATATATCTGTAATCCAATTATAAATTTGTATAATTCAAATAATCAATATTATTTTGAAGATTGATATACTTTTTTTACTAGCACTTGCAAAATTTGATATAAAATTATTCACAGAAAAATTAAAAGAAAATTATGCTTTCTTTAAAGTTTTTGAAATTGTTAAAATATTATTTTTAAGAAAGAAATTGTTATTATATCTTTAAAAATCTTTAACTGCAATTAAATGATGCTTTTAAATGTTTAAATAAAATATTTCAATAATGCTATGTAATCGCGCATTATGTACTAATTTTCTTTATTTATACGCGTTTGCAAATGAACACTCCACAGGAAAAATACAACCGCACATAAATTATATTAAATTACTCCGGCCGGAAACGCTTTAAAAGTACCCTCTTCGCGCGTTTTCTCTCTCTCTCTCTCTCTCTCTTTCTTTCCATGCGTTTCTCCTATCCCTCGGCATTTTTGTTGCTTCCTGTTCAAGCGCGTACGTTTCACGCGATATCGCCGTTTGAAAGAATCGATATCCCCGGGAAAATGCCTTTGATCGTCCTGGAGTAACGAGTAAAAGGGTGCGTTCACACTCACGATGAGCCCTACGTACCGTAGATTCGACGCGGTCGCCGCCGTGCCGCTAAATATAAAGCAACGAGTGCCCTCCCCCGAGGGAGGAGGCTACGGAATGTCCTGACACTTATATTCTCGGAGCAGACGCGCATTTTACGAGGTCGCTTGGGATCCGTCGGAATTTTTAACAATATTTTAAAAGACCACACGCACAACGCTGGAGACGCGACATTGCTTTCGTCTCGCATCGCGCCAGAAATCATCGTTGAGATTTAAGAAACAGGATTACGCGTTATCATGAGAGGTAACTCGAGAAGCAGCACACATGAGATTTAATCTTGGGGAAATATTGTCGAGAATAAGTATATTGTGCAGCATTGCGTGGGCGTCGCTATACTCGTGGATCGCATGAGTAATCTTGACAGTGCAATGCAGTGTAAGAATTAATAATGCGATATCGATAAATAATTTCTGTGCCTACAAAATTGTGTGAGATACTAATATCAGTTACAGATTCAATCGCAAATAATAAATACAAACTGCAAAATGTTTATAAATATCACAATAATATTAAAAGTAATTACTCGTATTTATTTATATATCGTAAAAAAGATTAACTTTTATTACAACTGATAGGACAATTAATTTTTCGAAAAATCCAGAGCAGATAATGTGTTTTCAGTAGTGAAATTTAGCCGCGATATCTTTGAAAAGCTTTGTCACATCATACGGTTTACATAATATTCAATACGTTATCGATAAACGACTGTATTCCGCGTGTATGCGTGAAAATATTTACATCTTATGCAAATCTGTGCCGTCAATAACCGATGATATAGGTACCGTAATTTGCATTTTAAAAAAAAAAGTAAAGATGTTGCTCAACATACACAACTTCTATTACAAAAATTCAAAACAGCAGAAGACACAATGAGAACACTATGAATTGTCTCACATAATAATAGAGAACATATTCGTTTCAGATAAAAGCAAAATAACTTCGTAAATAGTGATTTGTGATTTGTAATATATAGAATATCTCAATTTTTAAGTTAATGTAAATATTATATAAAATTAATTTTTAATGAAATTTTCTTCTAAGCGATATGGCATGTTAAAAGCAATGAATATATTATCAAGAAAACTACTGAAGATATTGTCATTTTAACAACAATATAAATATTATTTTGTAGTTTTGAGATTGTTATAATAGTAATTATTAGTTATTATTTAATTAAGATTGTTATAGTAATTAATTTCGAAACTCTCTTTCTTTCTTTCTTTCTTTCTTTCTTTTTCTCTCTCTCTCTCCCTCTCTCTCCCCCTCCCTCTCTCTCTTAGATGTGATTAAAATATCAATTGATTATTTAATAGTATTAAAATTTAATAAGATATTTAATCAGTTTTTTTTAATTCTTTAAAAAGTTTTTCGTTGACATATAATGATATAAATTAATAGTTTCCGAAATTAATATAAAATAAAAATTTATACTTTCTCAAATTAGTATTTTGCAGTTTAAATTTATAAAAGAAATTCCAAAATCTGTCGTTTCAAAATTTGTCGGAGTTTGTCAAACTAACCTACAAATTTTTCCGTACTTTTCCTACAAATTTTCTCTCTCTATAGTGTTTCTACATTTTAGATATCATAATTAAAAAGAACACTAAACCAGGAAAAAGCAGCTAAAAAAAAACTCACCGAGGCTGTGTCTAAATCCGTGAGCTGCTTGAATACTTTTGAGGTTGCACAGGATCAACGAAAAAACGACAATGAGAAGGCGTCGTGGCGTCACATTGCGCGCGAGCCCCTTCTTCATAGCCATGGTCCACGAGAGTTCTCGCAATATCTTGATACCAGCGAATAAAAGCGACCATTGACAAAAACACTCACACAGTCCATAAATCATCAATAGGAAAACAGAGCAAAACTCCGTATTGTTTCGCACGTTATTGTCTCCGCTTTAGCCGTCGTCATTCACTGATACACCATGGTGTTTACACCATGTCGCACGTTGTTGTTTTGTGATGCACGTAAAAAGCAGTACTTATCGCTGTTTTGTTTCACCGTTAGCAATCGACTAAGTCTTGAACACCGCGATAACAATTTGTCACTAATTATTGTAAGTGCCTAAACAATATTTCGATCGATTTTTATTTCGATATTCGATTTCGATATTTTGCTTTTCTGAGAACAATGTCACGTACATTTTCATTACACCGGCGTCATGCATGTGTAAATTTGTTTACTATTGATACAGGCGATTCACACGGAAATTCGAAATCGCGATTATTTCTCGGCCGCAACCATCTCACAATATGAATTTTTCACGAAATACACTCCGTAAATATTTTATGAGCTGCAACACTATTTTTTGCCGCACGAGAATATGTACTATCTGAAGTAAGCGTCTCGAATTGATCACGTGATCGCATTGGAATCCGCAGCGTGTGTTCGTACACAAAATCGAAATCCGTTTCGATGATGCAATTTTCCATGTGACCACGCGTTCACTTGTTGCTCTTGACAACAGGTGAGATTGAATCTTTCATCGGCACATATTCACTTTGCTCTTTACGTGCAAATGACAAAAAAAACACTACACTTTATGATACGTATCTCGCGTAGTAAGGTTATAATTTTACACGTACAACATGCAAAATAAAGCTATCCTTCGACATTTCAGTCAAAGCACCATACGTTTGAAAGAAAGGAGACAAATCACGACGAACAACACCACGACACGAACGACTCGAACGTCGCGAGTGAACTGAGCCAAGGAAGCGCCACTGCAGCCTGCAGTCTCGCTTTAGTCGATCAACCCCACCCGCTCCTTGAATAGCAAAGCGCATGCTTTGTATCAGGTAAATAGACTAAATCTTTGTTTTTTTCCAAGAAAAATTTTTCTTCAATTTCAAAATTAGTTTTAGGTTGGAAAATGTTTTTGTTTGTTTAAAACATTTATAATATTAAATGTGTCACTATCATTCATCAAGGCTACATTTTGATAAATTTATTCTAAAATTTTATTTAACAATATATTTCTGTTACAATTATTCGACGTCTACGTTAGAAACTTAATCGTATATTTTTATTTTCTTCAAAATCTATTTATGACGCAAAATATATAAATTAAAAAAAATTAATAAAATATTTAATTTATTTATTTAATTTGTTACTTTTAAATACTAGAAGGCTTATTATACATATTGTTAAGATAGAATAATTTTATTTTGGAATGAATTATTCGAAATAATCAAATTGAGCATAACTGTTGCTCACTTGATATATATATACAATATAAATTTTTTTTTAAGCAATATATTTCAACAATTCTTTGAAAATTTCAAGGATTTTTAACTTTAAATAATCGGTGTTTTTAGAAGAGAAGAATTTATATTTATTAATTCATAGCACTACTTCTAACGTTTGACTGTATTGACTCTAGTTGTAACAGTGCGCGCAATAAAGAGAGGAAAGCAAGCAACATAAAAATCAAGAGAGATGGTCAACTGATTTTCTCTCTCTCTCAGGACTGATTTAATTCGATTATACTTACCCCGCATTATACTTTTTTTTTCACAAGTATCACAATTAATAATTATTAATTTTTTTATCTAATTAATCGATGAAATTAGTTTTTGATGTCGGTAATTCTACGTATCTTTTCATAAATTTGTCTTTATTAACAAAACATGGATTTACTACATAATAAAATAAAAAGTAATAATGATAATTTAACAGGACTTAGGTTGGCTACTAAATAAATCGTAAATAGTTTTAAATTGACTTATGCACGTTTTGCAATTTTATTTTATCTTATCGTTAGATTTTTGTACATAATGTCGAGAATCTCTCGACAATTATTCTTCGATTGAGTAGTTTTCCGGCAGACAATAATGCTGGCGGCAATAATAATCCTGCCCATCTTTCTCGTGGCACCACGTTCCATCTGGAAAGTATGGATAGATATTTAAGTCGAGCATGTCCTGGCGTGGTGCATAGAAAAGCAATAGACTGTATTGAGCAGATATTTTTTCTTCTCGTAGGCAGTGTATGGTACAGGCTCTCCACGGTTCCTCAACGACATGGGAGGCCTGCTTTCCTGGCTCATTTTACGGTTCGTACTTAAAATATTCTTTGCCCTGTCTTTTTACTTTTACGCTAAGTTGAGTGCATTTTAAAGCAGTATATTCGGAAACCGTTTTGCGTTCTTCAGTGCAAAGGCTGGAGTCATTACACAGGACCACGTCGTAATATGGCCCTTTGCAATTTGCTGTTTTGTGAATCCGATGTCTGCAAAAACGTCGTTCGACTCGCGCACCTTTGGAAACCTTTAAGCAATCGCTTTTACAGGAGTCTTCTTTCCATTCACTCCAATTATTGTTTTCACAATATGGAAAAATGTGTGGTGGTTTGATAACGGCCACGCATTCTCCGCCGCGACATTCTTTTCCAAGCGCACAACCAGTTCCTGAAAAAAATTTAGTTCAAAATTTTAAATTGAACTTCTTAATTACAAAAAATACATACAATCCAACGCAAGTCCCGCGAAGAAATTTTTATTCCTGTGAGGCGTTTCGCATTGTAAGACTTGACATATATCATGCAATGTGACAACGTTTGCATCTTTGTCGCGTAAAAATAATTTATATTGTGCTTTGGCGGTTCATTCTCTTCCCGGCAAATCGTGATAACGCGAATGGTCCAATGCATATTGATTTTCGATCTCTTCTCGTCTCGTGTGATCAAGAAGACACGGTTTTCTTTTCCAGAGATTTTTTGTAATGTTACGACTACACTCGGATCATGTTACTTGTCCCCGCGGATATAGCAGATCTGTCATTATGTATTTGCCATTTGGACACGTCAAATCAATAAAGCCATTATCGTGTTCCATTCCTAATTTTCTGAACAATTAAATTATTACTTTCGAAAATATGCCTTATTTACAATATTTTTAAATACTTTGTACTTACTAAGAAGTTTTACTTTTTAAAAAACTAAATCTCTTAAAAACTCTGAGAAGTTTTATTTTTTAATTGCACAAATATGAAAATTCTTCTAATAAATATTATATACTTAATTTATATAAAAAAGTATACATAAACTTACAGATGACCGATCTCATGAACAGCAGCACGAGACGTTGCAAAACCCGAGACTGCGTTAGGACCGGTAGAACCGATTTCTACTAAGGCGCACGATGAAATCTGGGTACACGAGAAATTAACGAAAGAACTTCCTACAACACTGTAATGCTTTCGTTCCTTTTCTGACTCATATAGATTTATTCCGATTAGGTAAAGACCAATGTCCCACTGAAGCGAATCAATCCCGTATTTAGGATACAGAAAATTTACGTAATCGCAGAATGAATTGATCATTTTTTTATGGTCATCGTCGAAAGTAGACAAATTTGACAGCTGTTTATCCATTATTACCAACTTTATTAATGAAATATCAACAGAAACACCCAAACTTGAATGATGCAAGCTTGAATTTGGTTCACATATGCTAATATCATATTGCGTAACTTATCTTCATCATTGTCCAGAATAGGCATGTACATATGATATGCTGCTTCATCGAAGAAAACGACAAGTTCTATGATTAATTTCTTTTGCGTATTATCGACGTTTTCTTTTCTAGAGATCATCGTTTTTGCTTCATCTCTAAGACACGTTTTATTTTTCCAGTGTTTTTTAGAAATTTGACGACTATACTCGGACCATGTAATATTCCTTTCCAAATCGTTAGAATTTCGCTCTGGTATTCATCCTAAACTGTAAAACAGATAAATTATTAATCTTAAATGTATGCCTTACTTTGCATTGTTTAATCGAAATATTTTTAAATATTTTTTTATTTATTAATTGTTCACATAACAAACAATTAAAGAATAAAATTTAAAAAAAAATGACTTTTTACTTGTTGACTAATTATACAATTGTACATTTAAATAAATTTTATAAAATATTATGTATTCTTACTTTGTACGTAAAACTAGTTCTTAAAAACTTACAGTTCACCGATTATCTGAATAGCAGTAAAAGGGTATTCGACTTCAAATTGGTCACGGAGTTCTGCTATCGCGCATGAGAGAAGCGGCTTACATACGCTATCGAAGTAAGTATATCCTGTAATTTGAAAATTCTTCTCATCTCTGTCATGCGTTTTAAATTTTACCAGAACATTTTCATAAAGTTTTACTCCGGTTAAGTAAAGGGCAATATCCTAGTGATGCGGATCATTATCGTCCGGAGAATTTAGAGAATTCGCGTATGTGCAGAACGAAAAGAGCAATTCGCCAGCATTGCCGTCAGAAATTGGCAAATTTGACGGCTGTTCTCTCAGCATAATTAAACGTATTAACGTAATATTCATAAAAACATCCAAACTCGGACGATTAAAGGCAGCCTGGATGCGATTCACGTACGCTAATATAATATTGTGTAACTTATCCTCATCATTGTCCAAAATAGACATGGACTTATTATATGCTGCTTCGTCGAAAAAAACAAGTTCTATGGTTAAGTTCTGTCCCGCATTGTCATTATCGATGTTTTCCGGTTTGGAAATCATTGTTTTTGCTTGATCTCTAAGACACATTTTTGTTTCCCAGAGTTTTTCAATTTTGTTACTATTCTTGGACCATGTTACGTACTTTTGCGAATCGCTAGAACTTCGCTCTTGTGTTAATCCTAAACTGTTGATCAGATAAATTATTAATCTTAAATATATGTTTTATTTTATATTATTTGATTGAAATATTCTTATTTATCTTATGATTTAGTAATAGTTAACATGGTAAACAATTAAGGAATAAATTTTTTTAATAATGACTGTTTACTTGTTGATTTTATTGTGCAATTGTACAATTAAATAAATTTTATTACAAAATGTATTTTATTCTTTATTTATATGTAAAACTAATATACGAAAACTTACAGATTTCCGATTTTATAAATAGCTTCAAGAGATTATGGTCGGTATTCATAGTCCGTTCTTATATTTAAGATTGTCTTAAGCACGGACTTATATTCGCTCTCTTCGTCACACATAGATTGTGTCTGACGAAGAGAGCGAATATAAGTTCGTGCTTAAGACGATCTTGAATATAAGAACGGACTATGAATACCGCCCTATGTGATTTCAGATGAATCATAGAATTCTACTATTGCGCAAGATAAAAGCGGATTGCATGCGCCATCTTGGTAGGTTCTTCCTTTAATATCATAATTCTTTTCGGTTCTGTAATACGGTTGCAATACGTTAATATCAGTGGCG